CCGCTAGTGTACGTATATACTTATACACACATAAGTGAAACTCTCCTACTTGACTAGAGCAGCAGACAAGGGTAGCTACCTTAATGAATGAAAATTGTTGGAGTCAATTTTTTCTCTTGCTATTTTAAACGTTTTATGACATTTTTTTAGTATTATTGTTGATTTTATTTTTGAAAATTAAAAAATACGTTGTTGGAAGATTTCTTAAAATGAAACAATTTTACATTAAAAAAATGCTAATAATAATAAAGATTGCACTGTTACGTGAAGAGTAAGTATTCATTAGACATAACTTAAAAAAATTTTATCAACAATTAATAATTTTTCTTTTATTTTATAACTCTAATGATTATAAATCATGACATTACTATCTGTCGGTCGCATTAGCTGCTGCAAAGCCAGCGTGTGTATATGTATACACATGAAATATACTGCGACTTTGTAGTTAATCTTTTTTTTTCTTGTACGAAAAGATCTGACTTACGCTAGCTTTAAGGAAAGAAAAGCGTAAGTGCAAGAGGTTTTTTTAGTGTCACATCAGTAGCCTTTCTCGCTGACTAATACCGAGTAAAAAGAGCGTAAGTGCTGTAACGGCTTTTTTACCTTTTAACGACACGTCGAATTTCAACATTCTTGTTACTTACGGCTTTTTTCCATGGGAAGGTAGATTTCTATAGACTTTTAATTAATTATTATTAATGAATGAAAAAAGATTTTGAGTGTTCGTAGACGCCATTAAATACGGCATTCCCTGACGAATCGATTGGTATAAATAACTCATTTTTGATAAAAATGTAATTTACTGCTTTTTTTCGTGGCACGGCAGTATAAATCCTAGTAGTATAGCAACTTAATTATCAAAACATTCGTTAAATTAAAAAATTTCTTATAAAAAAACGGAGAATCTTTAACGCATAAAAAACCATAAAACGTTCCTCAAAATGACATAAATAATATTAGGAACAGAAATTCTAAGGACTAATACAATTATTTGTAATAAATTGATTACAATAACAAAATGTTATAATAAAAATTTCATAAATAATAAATTTTAGAAAATCCAACTATTATTAAAAAAATTATAGAAACAGTTTTAGAAGTTGTATAACAGAAAAATGAGAAGAAGCATATGTAAGTTCGAGAGTTTTATGATAAGGGTAATTAAAACACTTTAAAAAACTGACAACAAATTAACTCTTAAAAACAATTCTTTAATCAATAATAGCTTTATAACTAAAAACAAAATGAATTTTTAACTCTATTTGATATTCACAGTAATAACCAACATATGATATATTGTATACTTGTAAATCGTTTTAAAAAAACAAGAACTCAGAGTGTTAGAACTATTTACAACTATAGTGAAGTTAATTCCGAACAGTTTCATAAAAACAAAAAGCTGTATGTATACTCAAATAAAAAGAACAAAATGAGCTCGTGAATTCATCAGACATAAAAAGAGTTCTATGGGAAACAAAAAACAAAATTGTAAGAAATATGAAAAATATTTTAAAAAATTGCAGTGCAACGATACATGGGTAAATTAACGTCTATCATATATAAGATAAAAAAACCCACAACGGCATTGTTAGTAATAAGAGTTATTATGTTGGCTGGCTGGTGTAAGATAATGCAGAATTATTGAATCTTTTTATGATTGAAAGACAACTTACTACCACCAACGTTGATTACATCTTTAACGTCACCTTTAAACCTGTTATATGCGCTGACATACTTATTTCTACTGTATATTCGCTACTAAGAATATAGATGTATGTGAAAGTTTTAGAAAAACCATTCTGCAGTACTTTTTTTTTAAATACCATACTATTTCATGCCTATAAATGTCCCTCCAGGACGTTCATTACACATAGGTTTTTTTGATAGATCTTACAGTAACATTAAACGTATATTAAAAATAGTTTAATGTCATGTCATGTCATAATCATATCGTACTGATACCGGAAGAGTATAACAGCTGCTACTAAAACTTTCAGATTAAACGTCATGACTGCTGTTTAGTAATTGCATATCGTATTGTATTTGATCTGCTTGCAAATTCTTATTATCATCAGTATTATGATCAAAACAAATGTCCATGTTTTGGCTCTGTTGAGAGTTAGTAGAGTTCAACATCTAAGGAATCTGTCAAAAAAATAAATCATAAGAAATCGTTACTGCACATAGGAATACAGTAACAAAAATTCTACTACATTTATATACAACTGCTTAAAACATCAAAACAAAAAATTGGAAGAGCACCCAAACCAGACACATATGTGACTAAGATTAATGGTAGAAATTCCGATTCCAGCAAAACATCTCATGCATCAAAGGGAGATACCACACTTTTAGGTATCTAGGCATTTGCTAGCATCTAATTTGGAAAACATGGTGTCAGAGTTTCAGTGTTCAAATTCGGTTATGATAGTGTGAGGCTGACTCAGCTGAGTCGGCCACACACTATTATATTCAAGGATACGTGTTTACTCATCTTACAGGCAACTATCAACTTCTAGTATTTTTTTTTATCCTTTACAAGTTACTGTATGTGGAAACTTTTTTAAATTTACACTGGGGGCACTGCATGAATGCATAGGCTGTTTTTTCATTAGATATTCAACTTTTTCTTCAACGGTTCCTATCTCAGACATGTTGTTTCGGTTCGTTTACTTGCCTCTCACCATTTTCATTCATTGTCACGAGGGTGGCGCTACAGGTGGGTTAACATCGCGAATATACTTATACCTGCACCCAAGCACGAGTAAGAATTGGTTGTCCCTCATGTTCGTGAGGCCCTACTTATCTAAGGGCACCCGTAGGAGTGGCAGGAGGCATACGTGAGGTACCTATCGGGCTGTCTACATAACCTACCTTTATCTTACCTCATGAACTATATTTATAGTTACATTAGCTATAGTTGCAGTAATAACTGTATCGTCAAATCATATACACATATGTTCATACTTTATAATGCACAGAGAAACATATACGCATCCATAAATAATGTAAATGGATTTACATTTGAACGTTAAAACACTGGAGAAAGACTCTTCTGAAAATGAATCGACTAAGAGTAATGGTAGCAATTCTGATTCCAGCAAAACATCTCATACGTGAAAAGTAGATACAAGACTTATAGGTATCTAGGCATGTACTAACATCTAATTTGGAAAACATGTTGTCAGAGTTTGAGTGATCAAATTTCACATAAAATTCGATTTTTATAAGAACATATCTTTCTTGGAATGTTTCACCTTTTTTCAAAACAAAGCTTTTGTAACGAACCTAATTATAAAATATTATATAACGTTGCATTCTGACTAAAGAAAATTATACAACATTTGTAATCGTAAGTCTTTGATTTGAAATATTGGTTTAATCTTCCGACGAAGCCAATTTTTAAATCTTTACAAAAAAATGATAACTCTCACAACCGATAAAAATAAAACTTATGTTTAAGAAATGTTGACTTAAATGTACAAAATGTAGACCTTTGTTGAAAGTCTAAAAGTTTATCTATAACTATGAGCGAAGCTTCCACACTAGAGAGATCGGAGATCTAGTTCTAACTTTTAAATTGTTAAAAGCCCATTACCAAGATAAAAATATATATTTCTTATTGTTTCTTAATTTGAAATTAATTAAATAAACAGTAACGAAGTGTAAAAATTAAAAATTTTCAGCAATCAAAGAAAACTCCAAACAGAAGAAAAACGAATGCAACCCAACTTTCTCTCAAGAAAAAAAGTGCCTTAATCAATTCATGTAATTTGCAATTTGTAGACTATGATGAAAGCAGAAGTGGTTCTTAAGACCCTTCAACTAATTCAGATGAAAATGTGTTGCTAATAAATTGTTATCAATAAAAAAACAAATTTAAGAGCTGCAAGAAACTCAACAAAAAAACCAAATACTTTAAAAAAATCTTGGAGAACCCCAAGCCCTAATCGCACAGCTAAAAAAAGAGCCCTGAACAAATGAAAACAGCTGTAGCTCGTCAACTGCTTGGTGGTAGGGATCATACTTAAAATATTTTATATGTTATCATGATAATAATTGTTGTTTACTCAATGCCTGATATTATATTAATTTTTGTCGTAATAGATGGCGAATCTTCTGCTTTTATCAGATTACCTGTACTAGAATTGCAATAAGAAAAGCAGTTTTATGACGTCGACTCCAATGTTAAATCCGACATAAAAATGCTCTATATAAGACAGGATTAACAGTCTGAGCGAAGTAAACAATATATTGATATCATACGCATATGGCCTAAAGGTCATATTACTTGATGACTACAAATACAGATATGAGTGAAGCAATACGTACATTATAGTATAGTTTTAATTAAGGTTTTGCACAGTGTTCAGTCTTAAAAATCTTTATTGGATATGACTTAGCGCCTATAGTACAGAGTTGCAGACAATTATAGCACTTCTGTCGTAGTGATCTCCCTCAGCTCCTTTTTCCTTGGGTCCTCGATCGTCAGTGTGTCAGCCCGCGCGCGGCTTGGCAGCTGCGCAGGAGCAGTACGCCCGCAGAACGAAGGAGGGCGCGCGTGCCGTCACCTTGTCGGACGTTGATCGCGGGAAACGAGCCGAACAATCCGCCCGCATCGCTCCTGGGGCGACATACTAGTCGCCGCCTGCCAAGGCGGGTCGGCCTTCTCGACCATCAGGGGGTGGCGTTGGTGGACTGGGGTTCACTACGGGGAGCAAGGCCAGTTTGACAATCGGTCACACGTACTCGCCAGTTGCTGTCTTCACGGTGACCGCGCGCACCAATCCATCAGGACCAGGCTGGGCGCGAATGATGTGACCTAGCGGCCAACGACCGCTCGATTGGAGGAGGGTGGCGTCCAGTAGGATGACGAAGTCACTGACAGCAAAACTTCAGCGAGCAACGGTCCACTTCGGCCTCTGCTGGAGTGTATGAAGGTACTCTCGGCTCCAGCGTGACCAGAACTGAGCCCGAATGGCTCTCACGAGGTCCCAATGCTAGAGAGCGTCCAAGTTCTCAGTGGGAGGCCCGGGCTGGATGATGGAATCGAGTGGGGCTCCAACAAGGAAGTGGCCTGGTGTAAGTACCTCGAGGTCGGAAGGGTCGCCGGAGAGCGGTGTCAAGGGCCTTCCGTTGAGCACCATCTCAATCCCAACTAGTACGGTGGAGAATTCCTCGTAGGTCAGATGACGGGAGCCCATTACGCGTCGGAGGTGGCCTTTGACTGACTTGACGGCGGCTTCCCAGAGTCCGACGAAATGTGGAGCTCCGGGGGGGATGAAGTCCCAAGCAATACCTTGTGAAGCGAGAGAGCCGGCAACGAGGTCCCAGTTAATCTCCGCAATTTGTAACGCCTCGCGCAGTTCCAGATCAGCGCGGCGAAAGCAAGTGGCATTGTCACTCCAGACTTCAGAGGGTCGACCGCGACGACCGGTGAACTGAGCGAGAGCACCCAGGAAGGTGGCTGTGGAGAGATCACTGACGAGCTCGAGGTGTAGGGCCTTTGTCGTCATACACATGAAGACGGCGATGTAACCCTTCATAGTGCGTATGTCTCGTCCTTTTGACGCAAGTACTGAAAAAGGCCCGGCGTAGTCGACACCCGTGCGGCCAAAAGCGCAGGAAGGTGTGACTCGTGAAGCTGATACGGGGGCCATCATCTGGGTCGTGGAGCGACCCTGGAGTCGGGAGCATACGACGCACCGCTGCAATTGAGCCTTGATTCTGCGTGGGCCACCGAGAATCCATGCGCGCTTCGCCGCGTAGGCGCTAGTGACCCTGTATTCGCCGTAAAGAGCTCGAGAATGGGCCCAAGAAAAGACAAGCGAGGCGAGCGATGAGGCTCCCCTAAGGATCGGTGGATGCCGCTCTTCGTAAGGGAGTGAGGAGAAACCCAGCCTCCTGCCGACGCGCAGAACGCCGTTGGTGTCGAGGAAAGCCGCAAGAGAATTTAAAGGGTTCCCTTTTGGCAATCGCTTGCCATTCTGCAAACGTGCGCGCTCTTCGCCGAACGTTTCCGATTGGCTCAAACGGACGCAGGCCAGAAGGCATCTTAAAGCTCGGCGGGGGTCAGTGGTGAGAGCAACGGTAGGACAGGTGGGCGATGCAACTGGCGCCGGACCCACCGACCAGTGCGCACGAGAACGACGAGTAGAGTGTGAAGCTTGGAATATCGTTCAAGTATGCTCGGCTCAGCCAGATGGGTGGCGTAGCTGCCAACGGCAGGTGTGTCACCTCTTGAAGTGCTTCCTGGGGCCAGGCTCGGTCGTTGTCGGCAAGCCACGGCGGACCGTCCCACCACAGGAGATGTTGTCTGAGACCGGACATGTCCACGCTTCGAGTGGCCACGTCGGCTGGATTGGACTGCGACGGCACGTACCGCCAGGCGCTCGGGGGTAGCGTGTCTTGTATCTGGGCCACGTAGTTGTCAACGAGGGCGTTGTTGGTTGGCTGATCGGAGCGAACCCAGTGCAGCACAATTTGCGAGTCGCACCAGGCGTGACAGCGCTCAATCAGAACTGCTAGTTCTTCGGCCGTCGAGCGCAGAAGCTTAGCAGCCAGCAAGGCGGCGCAGAGCTCCAAGCGAGGAATGGTCATCCGGGCCACGGGCTCGGCCATTGGCTTTAGAGTGCGGATGGGCGCCAGCTTCGTGCGAGCGAGGAGGATGTGGCAGCGGACAGAACCGTCCGCGGCCTCAAGTCTAGAGTACAGGACAGCAGCCATCGCGTGGCGGCTGGCATCGGAAAATACGTGCAGGTGAATGTCCACTGACGCGACCGTTCCGATCCAACGAAGCAGGGATTGACCGGAGATGGCTTGGAGCTTGGTGGCAAAGGCAGTCCACCTTTGAATCATTGACGACGGAGCAGACTCGTTCCAGTCCAGGTTGGCTCACCATAAGTCTTGCAGCAGGAGTTTGGCGTTCAGCACGATCAGCGCTAGCCAACCGCATGGATCAAACACGCCCGCGAGCGCTGCGAGCATGGTCCTCTTGGTGGTTCGGTGCTGGATAAGGGGAGGTGTTAGCAGGAAGCAATCTGACGGTGGATTCCAGCTCACACTGAGCTCACTGACGAGACCTTCAGCACCCAGCTGACACCAAGTCGGCCGCAGGCTCACGTCGTCAGGGAGGTCGTCCAGCAGCTCGGGCACATTGGCTACCCACTTGCGCAGAGGACACCCGCCGGCTTGCAGAAGTTCGATTAGCTGGTCACGAATATGTCGAGCCGTGGCGATGTCGTCGGCACCAGAGAGTATGTCGTCGACGTAGCGGTCGTATATTACCACGGTAACTGCCTTGGGCCAACGGTGTCCTTCGTCTTTGCACAGCTGATGCACAGTGCGCAAGGTGAGGTACGGTGAGTACGAAGCGCCATAGGTGACTGTTAACAGCTGGTAGTCCGTGGGCAGTTGGTTTGGATCAGGGCCCCACAAGATACGCTGTAGGTCGAGCTCACGCTTGTCAATCCGGATCTGACGAAACATCATGCGGACGTCGCTGCAGAAGGCGATTCGGTGTCGTCGCCAGCGGAGGAGCACGCTGGGAAGCGTGGTCTGCAGTCTAGGGCCCGCAAAGAGGACGTCGTTTAAGCTGTAGCTGCTCAATGTCGGTTTCGAGGCGTTGAACACGACGCGAAGCCTGCGGCCCTTATCGCTGCTCTGCCAGATGCCATGATGTTGGACATAGTGCACTGGTCGGGAAGATGCCGTGCGAAGATCGTAAGTCAGTGGCCTCATGTGGCCCAGAGCGATATACTCTGCCATAAATTGCGCATACTCAGCACCCATCGCTGGGGTCCGCTGGAGGCGACGATGCAACGAGTGAAGGGCGGCCGTGGCACTCTGCAGGCTATTGCTGAGCAGCCGCACACTGTCGCTCTTCAATGGCAGACGAACGACATAGCGGCCATCCAAAGCACGATGGTGATCAAGGAAGATGCGCTCGCACTCAATGTCCTCTGGAGCGCGGTGGCTGACTTTCGGTACTTCCTCGAGCTCCCAAAAGCGCTGCAGCAGCGCAGCCAGCTCGCGATGCCAAGACGGTGCTCCGTCCACGTAAAGTGTTGAGCCAACAGTAAAAGCTGCTGGCTGCAGGCCAGAAGCACGGCCGATGAGGGTCCAGCTGAAGATCGTGTGCTGACCGATAATGTCGCCCCGCTGGACAGATTCCGCCCTCAATATGCGGCTGTAGACGTCGGCACCGAGGAGCAGGTCCACATGACTAGGTGTACCGAATGCGGGATCGGCCAGAGGCTGAAGATCAAGCCACTGCTCGGCCACGGATTAGTGCAGAGGAGCGGACGGCGATACAAGCCCGAGCAGAGTGCTGCCAAGGTGATCGGCGGCGCATCTCTGCCCGGGTCGATGTGCAGATGGGCCCGAGTTCTCAAGTGGACGATCAACTCACCTCCTACTCCGGAAATGCTCGCATTGGTGTGCTCCAGCGTCGCGTTGAGCCGTTGAACCAGGTTCGCAGAGACGATCGTGACCTCGGAGCACGCATCGAGGAGGACTCGGACTGTTGCGCGCCGGCCAGACGGCCCACTCAGCTGGACGAGAGCGGTCGGTAGCACGGCGAGTCAGGAAGAGGGCGACGGGCCCAGGTCATCGGCATGGGTTGCACCGACGGGGTTGGCCTTCGGCCGTTTTGGTGATGGCCGACCGTCAGATGGGTCCGATGACCGTCGACGGCTGCTGTCGTGAAGCAGGCTGTGGTGCTGTTCTCGGCAGTGCTGACAAACAGATTGGGAGGGGCAGAACTTCAACAGGTGGCCCGTTCGGAGGCAATTAAAACATAGTTGGGCTTGGTAGACCAGGTCTCGGGGAGCGTGCGCGTCGAGGCCTTGGAATCGAGCACAGTGTCCCAGGTAATGGGTTTCGCTGCAGGACAGGCACAGAGGCAGAGCTGCGCTGGTTGCGAGGGAGCGATAGTGCCGTCCAGAAGATGATAAAGTTGGTGGACGGATGCTGGGCGTGCTCGCTGGCAGCGCTGGGCGAGATGCCTCAATGGAGCTGAGAGCGTGGCACTGTCGGTGAAGAAAGTTCGTCATGGCGGCGAAAGTTGCAGTCCTAATCCCAGCCCTTGTGTCAGCGCACTCGAGCCGCTCGAGCTCGTCCTCCCAGGCACGCCGGGTAGTGAAAAGGAGAGGTTAAATGCTAACCTTAATAAACCGCCCGTATTGCGTTTGCTCGAGTCATGACAAGGTATAGGTACACCCGTAAGGAAGGCAATGTGGCCACCACTACTGACGAAATAACCACTACCAGCGACACGGCTTCATGTCTGCCGTGGCTGTATGTATAACAAGCGCTGGACCACGGGCTATGTGGTGGCCGTGGCAGCCTTGTATTTAACTTGTGACGCAGATACTCGTGAGGCACGCGTTAATGGCGGCACGACCTCGTCGTGGCTATGATCAGGCAACGCAAGCCAGACTGCCGGCATGATGTCGGCCGCGATGGCTTAATACAACCAACACTTTGACATCAGTAATAGTATACTCACATTATGTTGTGTGCTGAATGCTCTCCTTGGCTTACACCTGCTTTGCAATGGTTGCTGTTTGTTTCTTACTTGCTCTGAATCCAGCTCGAAGGACCAATGTTCAGTTTTGAAAATCTTTATTGCATATGACTTAGCGCCTATAGTACAGAGTTGCAGACAATTATGGCACTTATGTCGTAGTGATCTCCCTCAGCTCCTTCTTCCTTGGGTCCTCGATCGTCAGTGTGACAGCCCGCCCGCGGCTCGGCAGCTGCGCAGGAGCAGTACGCGCGCAGAACCAAGGAGGGCACGCGTGCCGTCATCTTGTCGGACATTGATCGCGGGAAACGAGCCAAACACACAGTTTTTTAAATTATTTTCATTAATTTTAGGTAACAAAGATGATCCATGTTGGACATGGCCAGTTGATTTAAAAAAAAACTCGAAGGAAATTAAAAAATCTAACACTGTTTTACTGTTTGCTAAACCTTTAGCAAGAGCTTTATGGGGTTCGGAGAAACTAACCAACCGTTTTGTAATAATAAAAGGGCAACAAGTCCAAAAAATATCCAATAGAATATCTTTCAGAAAGGTAGTGACCCTGGAAAAATTAGAATCAATAAGCAGTAAGTAAACGAAATTCTTAAATCATTAGTTACATTAACATAATAGTAACTTTTGAATTTGTAGTTTTAATAAGGTGTTTTTTCATCCACATTTAACCTTACCTTTTAACTAAGGATATTAATGTCTCAGTCAACAGAACAAGTCACCATCTATCTGAAAAGATAGCTTATCAAATCAAAGCCTTACCGAAATAATTATTATTTATTTATCTTACATCTCACTTTTATGATTTTTTAAGCTTTTTTGAAATTTTTAGCACTATTATACAATGATATATCATAACTTATATTGTGATATTTATATTGTTTGTATAAGAAGCATTTAATGTAATTGCTAAAAAAAATTGATGAACAAACACATGGAGTGTACCATTTATCACAAGTACCTACATTAATCAAAATTACAAGGTGTAAAGAATATTAAAAATTTTACTCAATATATATCCAAGACCTCACATGGTAAAAATATTTTGTAATAAGTTTGAAATAAAATTTAAATTTCTAAGTTTTCATCCGATTATTCAGCTGCAATCTATTTGAGCTATTACTTAAATTTATTGAAAATTCAATAAAAATTCCTAAAATATTTCAATTGACAACAACATATTTTAACATTGACACAAACCTTTCAGATAAAAAAATTCGTTTCTATATAGTGTTACTGCTCAAAGAAGGATGTTATTTAAATTGATTCATCATTGAATCAATGAGGCAATTTAAGACTAAATTCAATATTACAATCGTCGTTGATTTAGCGTTGAATCAACGTTAAATCAATGCAGTATCCGCATTGATTCAGCATTAATTTAATTTCCGTTTCTTCTCACTTATACAAAAAAGTGCGAATCCCTTTTAAAAAAGTGCAAAAAAATAATATACATATTTTCTTATTTCTTTTATCTTATCAAATAACTTTTAATTCTTGAGTAAGAAAGAAATTAACTTATTTCCAGCATGTAACTACTACTTATTGATAAATTATTATACTATAAGAGCTTCGTTCAAATTTTTTTATTTTGCTGATCACAAGGTATGTGCTATTCTTTTGCAAAAGCTCATACGTTTATTTATGTAAGTCTTACTTAAATATGTAGAAGAGAACAGTAAGCTCATGTAATAACAGTCTACAAAAGACAAAGATCATGCGAATTACAAGCAAACATTGCATATGATTATATATTTGAATTCTGATCCTACTAAGATTTTTTAAAAGCTATTCTGTCTATTATAGTATTAAGTCTATTGTAGTAGAAGTGCCATAATGTTTAAGGTTCAAACAGTAAGAATATCGTAACTGTTATGAATCCTGTGGCTTCAAAATTGTAGCTTACCAAAAATATACAAAGAAGATATACTAATTAGACCCATTGTATATTACAGTGAGGTGCCAACATATCTACTAACTAAAGAACTTATCAAAGTACCTCCTTCTTTTGTAAAATTTTTACCTAGATACAGTCTTAAAATACGAAACAGTTAGTTAATAGTATGAAGAACATAAAAATACTACATAATACAAAATTTATATCATTTGGGGTAGTTAATTTATTTTCTTCTATCCCCACAGTTCAATTCCAAACTATAGTTAATAACTTAATCAGCAATAAAAATTCTTTTTGTTTATTTTTTAAGCAAGAAATTTTAGATTTAGTTACCGTTCCTCTTAAACAAAAGTACGCACTGCGTACAGTGACTTGGATCCAATCTGCTTGGTTATATTACACCTTCGTATCCACTAATTCTTACGATCAACAGAATTAAGAAATTTATGTAAGATTATGGATTTTTTCTTTGAAAATAGTTGGGAAAACAGCATTTACAAGCACTCGTCATTATAAAATCAGTCTTATAACATTACTTTACGAACAATAAAAACCAAGCTCCTCTCTTTGTAGTCTAGGTCGTAATCTGAAAGTCGTTGGAGAAAATATTTGGATTTAGTTTTTTCGTACTATCTTATACAAAGTTGTCTCCTGAAAATGAATTTGCATGATGCCACGTCCAAAAATTAATTAAAAATTATTCAAACAATTTGTTTTAACAGATTTTGCGAATTGTTTATTTTTACTCGGAAAAGTTTTTTTTTTAATATTTGGACTATAAACAAAAAAGTATCTTGCGTCTCTTCTCTGCAGGTTATTTTTTCCAAGTTTAATCATAAATTAATTAATTATTAAAGTTCAAAAAAATGCAAAATTGGCTATTTTCATCCATGAAAAATAGTACGAAAAACCAACAATTTTCATGTTGCTAAAGTTCCTAAATACTCTATGAACATTCTTGCACACATTTCCAAAGCGGTTTAGTCTATCATTCTTTCATCAATATTTAAATAAGTGCTTTTTATTCTTTTATACATAGATTATTTTCAAACCTTTACGAAAAAATCACAACAACAGATAGGGAAGATTATTAAAATGCCCCGCAACAAATAATAGATACGACAAAACTATTACAGATAGTCTAATAAGAAGAAAACACAAAAAACTTTTACTACACCACTTTTATGAAATATTGCCAGACAAAAAAAAATCCATACGTTAAATTATGTTCCCACAGTTTCAAGAGAAATTGGTGAATTACTAAAGACATAAAATAAATTTAATTTTAGTCAATAAACACAATTTAAAAAAAATTTTAGTTAATAATAAATGTGACAAAAAAATGTTTAATTTTGG